GTAATTTGAAAAATTACATATGTTGGCATTACAATTTTTATGATTAGACAGAGTTATTCCATTCTCAAGTAGTAACAGAGGCATGACATCTTCAATAAACCAATTACTCTTTCTTTTTATAAGCATTTAAAGGTATTTCCTTTATAAAATCGAGGTTCATCTACATAGATTTTACTTTTAAAATCCAAAATATATATGTTAAATTTAATGCTTCCATGATTTTCTCCAAATGGAAAACAGACAGTAAATAGAAAAAAAGCTGAGCCATGTAGATGGACAATGAGTTCGTTTTACTCACATTGCCTTACCAGTGTAAAATACTGTTTCTTTTTCTTTTAGTTTCCTATCTTGTTTTTTCCTTTTTTTCCTCCCCAAATCCAGGTGTCAAATTTCTTCACAAGATACATAAATTGCAAATTCCAATTAAGTTTACAAAAGGAAAATATTTTTGTAATCCACAAAATAAATACTTTGGTCTTAGTCAAATACACTTTTAACAATGCTACCGAAATTACACATTCTAATAAAAATTATATACTGCCATCTACAGTGCAAATTACAGACATACAATACTAAGTAACTCGGGTTTACTGAAGAGGGAGTCAACCTAGTACAATATTCTGAAATAAAACAAAAAAAATGAGGTTTATTCAATGAAATGTTTAAGTAATTTTACTGTGTCTGAGTGAATGTATAATCATGTTAGGTAAAATTTAGTTAGAAAGCTGAGAAAATAATATCTTCATCATTTTAAATATACCAGAAGAATTGTGTATGTCTTGCCACCAGGACGATCCTTTAGGTTTTCATCAATAAGGATGATTTCATATACATTTACATTTGATCAATGTGGTAACAAAACTCTACACAGACTGATGAAGTATCATTTATTAAGTTAAACAACACATGAAGGAAAACAAACAAAAGAAGTGACCATTAAATAATCGGATTAAAGAATAAATGTGACAAAAAGCAAATGAAGAAAATATTATCAGCACAGTTTACTGTAATTAAATTTGTCAAAAAGGCTAGCCATTTTTGCCTACTATTTAGGACTACCTTGTAAAATTGAAGAAGCGGAATAATCAATACCAGGGGCTGGCAAACTTTTATGTATAAAGAGACAGATAATAAAAATTCAGGCTTTGCAGCCATATAGTCTCAGTTTCAACTACTCAATTCTGCCACTGCAGCAAAGAAATAGCCATAGATAATAGTTAAATATATGAGTGTCACTGTGTTCTAATAAAACTTTATTTATAAACACCAAAATTTGAATTTCATATAATTTTTATGTTGCAAATTAGCATTCTTTGGACTTTCTTTTTCCAGCCATTCAAAAATGTAAAAACCATTCCTAGCTCTTTGGTCTGTATTAAAACTGGCAGCAAGGCCACAGTTTGCCATCCTCCAAACACAGAAATTCATTCGTTTAAATGCCAGTCCTTTGCTTGCATTTCTGCCACAGATCAAAACAGCCAACTTAGTCAAAGAATGCCATTATTTTTGTATTACATGTTAAAAGTGCGCCATCTGGAGCAGTGTCATGCAAATGGTGCCTCCTGGAGCTGTACTGTAAGAGGCCCTGATATTGGATGAGTAATAGTCTATATACGCTAACTTATATTCCAGGCTTTATAAAAATGTTCTGAATATATATTTATATGTGTGTATAATTACACATATTTCAATTTTTCAAATATCTTTATGTGTGTAAATTATTAAAGCAGAATTATTAAAGCAGTGAAACTGTAGGATTTTTCTGTTTCTTTGTTATCACAGTATCTTCTAGTTAACTAGCAATGAAAATATCCTATTAATTGGAGCATTTTCATAGTCAAACTTTATAGAAACTTTATACAATCATTTATCAAATTTTGGGTTGCTTTTCAAGATACCATTTATATTCACGTTTCAAGTGAAGCTATGGACCAAGAATTAGCAGGCAAAAAGCTGATTTTTTTAAAGAATTTTCCAGCTTCATGTTAATAGTAGACCAAATGTTAGCCTTTAGTAGTTTTGTTACAAAAACATAAAATAAATTGTTAAAGCAAAGTTGGAAAATGCAGAGCTTCATGCAAACAGGGAGGGTGGACATAACTAAAATAAACTAAGCAAAAAGCTAAAAGCAAAAGAAATAAAGAAAAGAAAGAACCTTATGCATTTCTCCATGAAGATCTCCTACCTCTTCTCTAGTGTCTATGGCAGAGCCAGGGGTGGTGGCAGCAGTGCTTACTGTGGTACTAGGGGCAGTGCCTGATGAAGTCACTGAATCTATCTCTCCTGCTACATCGTTGATCTCCCGAGCAATAAGAGCAAGATCTTGGCTGATCCTGGTAATAATTTTAGAAAAGAAGTTCAATGCCTTTTAAATAAACAGTTCTAGAAACAATCATTTATGAGAGAATCAGTCACATAAGTTGTATATCCAATTAAATATTTGTATCCCAAATTAACTGCTATTTTGATAATCAGAGTCTTAAACCTTAATTCCAAGATTAAGATTAATGAAACTAAACTCCAAATAACCTACAAGATATCACTTTGATAAATGTACTTTAAATACACTTGAGTAGAGATAGGCCCTTAACATACACTGTTAGTGTTAATGACTAGCATTAATATATCACAGGTGTTCTTAAACTTGGGAATAATGGAGAGAATTAAAGGAGTTCATAAACTTAAATGAGAAAAAAAATCACAATATAATTTTCACTAACCTCTAAGTGATGCTTAGCATTTCTTTCAATTATAAATATAGGCAAAAAACCACAGTGGTATTAGCTTTATTGGTGATTTTTGTCATCAGCAGAGATTACATTATAGTTGCTACAGGTACCTCAAAACATCATTTATGGTCATCACTACTTCAAAATTACTGAAGTCATTAAACATAGAACAATAACATTTTATTCAATGTTAATAAAGAACCATAAATTACTCTATTACTTTCAAATATTTTGATAACCGAATTTCAATATAATTGGATTTCTTTGTAATTCTAAGTATTTTATGACATGATGGTCAAAGGGATCTACAGTACCAAGAAATGAACTCTGCACTCTTTAGCAGAGCACTGTACACTATGCACAGCACTTTCCAGTACATGTTATATCACTTGAGGCTCACAAAGTTCTTTTAAGGTAGGATTTATCTGACTTTATCATAGTCTCAGAGAACCTGAATGGCTTGCTCATAATCACACATTTAGATGTAGCTAATGCAGGACCAGCTCCAAGCTTTAGTGCTAATTTCCATAAAGCCATTTGTTTTTACCTACATGGACTGAAGAACGAAATAACTGTTACCAGTGATAATCAAAGGTGAAAGTAGAGATTTTTCTTTTAGCTTTTTTAAGAGGGAGAAACTTACAAAACCTACCACTGATATTCTTGTTTTTTGAGAAACATTTCATTTCAATAAGACATTAAAGTTTTCCAAGTTGCATCCATTGCCCATAAAGTCAATGTGGCTACTTCCACAGGGAAGGTTTTGGAATGACAGAATCTTGTTAAAAGTATATGTGCAAGTTTCTGCAACTTCAAAGTCCAAAGGGAATACAAAGTAACTTAAAAAAAAAAAAGAGCCAAGGAGGTCTGGCTACACTACCCAGGCTGGTCTCGAACTCCTGAGTTCAAGCACCTCCCACCTCAGTCTCCCAAATAGCTAAGATTATGGACACGTGCCTGGCTTAAGGTAATATTTTTTAACTTATGTAAAATGCAAGTTTGAAACGCATTAGTAATTATACAAAAAATTAGATTTAAAAAGAGAATTAAGTTGAAGCTTATGGATCAACAGAAGCAATTTATGGTCAATATAAATTTTGTAAGAAATGACAGTTCTTCCTCATTTATTTATCAAACAAAAAGGTAGTAAGAATGCCAACAAATATTTACTGATTCCCATTATGTGCCAGGCACTGTGCTAGGTCCTAAGGACCATAACAATGAAGAAGCAGATGGGTCCTTGTCCTCAAGAAGCTTAGAATAAAAAGAAGGCACCATTATAATACAATGAGTACATTATAAAGCTTCATATTCCTTAACTCATTTGATTTGCACAATCACTCTGTAAGAGAAGTATTAATCACTGTGTTTTATAGGTGAGGAAGGAATGAGGTATAGGAGAAGACATGTCACTATTTTTTTGGCCAAGGTCACAAACATTAAGTGCCATTACTAGATTTTTTTCACTGTCATGCTACATCTCACGTGATCACTCCATATGTAATTGTTTAAAACATTAAGTGTTGATGTGATTCTTTTGAAAATGTGTTTAAAGTGTTCCCTTATATAATAAAGCAAATTCTTGCAATTCCCCAAAATAAATGAACTAGAATGAGAAACAGAATAACCAAGCTTAATTAGATAAAATACAGATAAGCATCAGTTTATCCAAAACTATTTTTCATTAAGGTTTTTTTATGCAGACAGTTTGTACAATGAAGCTTCTAATATTTGTGAAAAATGGTATGAATTAATTAGAAAAAACATGGACAACAGCAACCTCAACATGTGATACAGTAAAATATATATTAAAATGAGCTTTTTTTTTTTTTTTTGAGAGGGAGTTTTGCTCTTGTTGCCCAGGCTGGAATGCAATGGCTCCATCTTGGCTCCCTGCAACCTTCACTTGAAACCTCCTGGGTTCAAGCCATTCTCCTGCCTCAGCCTCCCGAGTAGCTGGAATTATAGGCACCTGCCACCACGCCCAGCTAATTTTGTAGTAGAGATGGGTTTCTCCATGTTGGTCAGGCTGGTCTCAAACTCCCAACCTCAGGTGAACCGCCCACTGTGGCCTCCCAAAGTGCCGGCATTATAGGCGTGAGCCACCAAGCCCAGGCAAAATGAGCAATTCTTAATGTATACACAACATACATTGTTTATGTAAAAACCTAATAGATAGTTTCACATTTAATTCCATTTATTATAAAATTTGGATAAGAAGATAGTACCAAAGGAACAAACTATAAACAAAGGGTTAAGTTCCATAACATTAGTACTATTCTTTCTGTTTTCCCAAGTGTCAGAACCACTGATTGGATTTCAACAGTTTTATAGAAATAAGTATGCATTATTTAAGAAACAAAGGTGAGATACCATAAGAAATGTTCTTTAAGTCATAAAGTTTATAATTTTCTTACATAGACTATCTCAGTCACAATGCTCTTCTTTTTTTTCACTGAAGGGTTATATACTAGAAAAAACAATTGTACATTTTTGGTATACTGGAAGATTAAAAATCAGAGTCCTAGTGATATGCCCAATTTAACATACAACCTTTGCAAGATTATATATTACAACCACAGTACAAACTATCAGACTTTATTGATTTAAACTGCCAATAAAACATTGTTCCAAATTAGCTATTTAAAAATCTGCCTTATTTTTTAACAGCACATTAGTTTTCAAAAGTTTTTACATGCAACTAGCTTTCCAAAGGATATACCCATGAACCACTGGAATTAAATTTCCTTTGGTATTACCGGAAAAAAGCAACTGGTGGGCTATTAATGAAGTACACTAGCTTTAGAATCCTAAAATTGAAGCTAATGACAGCAAGTTTAAACTCCTGTTACTTGAACATTGGCTAACAGATCATAACTCTAATGACTCAGCTTTTAAGAAATAATTTAGTCTAGCTTGTAAATGACCAGAAGTGTTAAAATGTAAAATGAGTTTTAAGGAGAGACATTTAAGGGTCATTCCAGAAAAACTCATGATTTCCACACTACCTAGAAGAGTTTAGTAAGGAAAAAAAAATTTTGTAAGAGGAAAAAGAGGATATCAGCTGAAAGTTACTCAGGAAAACTGGAAAAGAAAATAAGGAGAAAAAAAGACTGAGGTCAGAGCCGGGCGTGGTGGCTCACGCCTGTAATCCCAGCACTTTGGGAGACTGAGGTGGGCGGATCACGAGGTCAAGAGATCGAGACCATCCTGGCCAACATGGTGAAACCCCGTCTCTACTAAAAATACAAAAAATAGCCGGGCATGGTGGCACGTGCCTGTGGTCCCAGCTACGAGGGAGGCTGAGGCGGAAGAATCGCTTGAACCCAGGAGGCGGAGGTTGTAGTGAGCCGAGACTGCGCCACTGCACTCCAGCCTTGCGATAGCGCAAGACTCGGTCTCAAAAAAAAAAAGACTGAGGTCAATTATTCTAAGTGAAGTAACTCAGGAATAGAAAACCGAATACCATATGTGTTCACTTACAAGTGGGAGCTAAACTGTGAGGATGCAAAGGTGTTAAGAATAATATGAATCAGCTTTTAATCCTTGTATAAATTACGAACTCATTTAGAACATAGGCTACATGTTTCAGGCTTTTTTTTGTCTCTCCAACGGTGACACATATGGTCAGCTATTCATAAAAAAATATGATTTATAATAGGATGCACCAGGGAAACTTAATCTGAATAGAGATCACGGTAATGAGATATGGGAAGAAGAACGCAGAGGAAATTAGCAGTCTTTCTTCTTCCTAATTCTTTGCAATGATATAAAAGCCAGTAAGCCAAATAATAAAGAGCCATATTAATTTTAAAGAGTGTATCAGGCCCCAAAATTTCAAAGACAGGTATAAAGTAAAAATTCATAAGCATGTGGCTAAAAGCAAATTTTTAAAGCATTTTATATTTCCATAGGTAGAAACAAATCTTGTTTCATTAAGTATTTGGTTTAGCTTATATTCTTCCTCCTAAGTGATTAGCTCACTTATGCTCTCCCCCTCTACCTCAAATAAAACAAGTCTAGTGGTTTAAGGTTTGCAAGGCATCGGAAGAAAAAAAACCCCGAGATATTAGCAAATTAACTTCACTTCATTTAAAATTCTCATTACTTATACAATGCGAGAAAAAGTATACTTGTAAGAAACCCTGTAATAGAAAACAAAGGGGGTGAAGTCAAGAAGTACAGGAATGCACGCAGCAACTGGACCTATGAAACAGGACATGTAAGGTTTTTACTTTGTGGTCATCTGTGTGTGAACAAAAAGTTCTAGATGCTCCCTAACCAGTAAAGATCAACTGTAAATCCCCTATCTAGATGCAATCCAGATGGAATGCTCAGTATCACTGGCTACGAAGCACAAATACTTAGCAAGGTCAAAGAGATACCTGAAGTGAAATGCTGTCTCCAAATAAAAGAGACTATTCTTATTACTACACTGCCTACAAATAAAAATACAGTATTTTTATTAGTACATAAAAAGTACTCAGATGTGCTTTAAGGTGATAAGGCTATAATTAAAAAAAATTTATGGCAGGGCGCGGTGGCTCATGTCTGTAATCTCAGCACTTTGAGGCTGAGGCAGGCGGATCATGAACTCAGGAGTTCAAGACCAGCCTGGCGAACATGGTGAAACCATGTCTCTACTAAAAATCAAAAAAATTAGCCAGGCATGGTGGTGTGTGCCTATAGTCCCAGCTACTTGGGAGGCTGAGGCAGGAGAATCGCTTGAACTGGGGAGGCAGAGGTTGCACTGAGCCAAGATAGTGCCACTGCACTCCAGCCTGGGCAACAGAGCAAGACTCTGTATGAAAAAAAAAAAAAAAAAAAAAAATTACATAGCTTGTAAGTACTTATATCTACATTTTCCCCTGAAGACTTTTCCTGGTTTTGGCTCATCATTCAAGGTTATTTTTCTCAGCTGATAAAAGCAATGAACAAAACCACATTTATGCTATTCTGCCACATAACCGGCCCTCTTTCTTTTTCAGTAGACAGCATATAATTTTAATTTAGCCTTTGGCTTGTTGTGAAGCCACATCTCATCTTCAGTTCTTCTTGACATGCCTTTCATATAGATGTGTTACCACTGTAAACAGCTCAAGCTGATCCTAAGAAATTCACTTAAGGTTTCCTAGAAATGTGATTCGTATCAGTTCTGTATTTTAAACCATGACTTTCAAAATGAGCTAAAATATTGTATAATAAAACCAACATATGCAGGTATGAATATAAACAAGCAACACTGACTTCCATATATGGATCCCTGAAATGTTTCATTATGGATGATCATATCTTATACAGTGAATAATGCAATTATGATAAAACAGAAATAGAATTTCTCACATCCTAACTTTTTTCAAAAAAATTAACTGTAGCTAGGTAAAAATGGGGCTAAGACAAGGAATTTCTATGGAAACGTTTTTAGAGTTTGACTTAAAAATTTTCAATTTGGAATCTTAAACATTTAAACTATTCAGGGCCTACTGATAATGGGCTAGATATCTTTTGGGCACAGTGGCTCACACCTATAATCCCAGCACTTTGGGAGGCTGATGCATGACTTGAGTTCAGGAGTTCAAGATCAGTCTGGTCAACATGGTGAAACCCCATCTCTACTAAAAATACAAAAAGTTAGCCAGGCATGGTGACATGTGCCTGTAGTCCCAGCTACTCAGGAGGCTGAAGCAGGAGAATCATTTGAACCTGGAAGGTGGAGGTTGCAGTGAGCTGAGATCACGCCACTGCACTCCAGCCTGGGCAAGAGAACAAGACTCTGTCTCAAAAAGCAAGCAAACAAACAAACCAACAACAACAACAAAATCCAAAGGAGACATAGACAAATTTGGGAAGATTCCAGGAATCATTTATTCTACAAAATTTATTTGGTATCGGCTGGGTGCAGTGGCTCATGACTATAATCCCAACACTTTGGGAGGCCAAGGTGGGCAGATCACTTGAGGACAGGAGTTCGAGACCAGCCTGACTAACAAGGTGAAACCCCGTCTCTACTAAAATTACAAAAAAATTAGCCAGGTGTGGTGACGTGAGCCTGTAATCTTAGCTACTCAAGAGTCTGAGGCATGAGAATTGCTTGAACCAGGGAGGTGGAGGTTGCAGTGGGCTCACATTGTGCCACTACTCAATCTGGGTGACAGAGTGAGACTCCGTCTCAAAGTAAAATAATTGAAAAAATTTATTTGGTATCTACAAAGCAATGGTTATAAACGATACCATGATCTCACAGTACAATAAAGAACAAAAAGTCCAGTCCTTAAGAGGCTTAAAGATTAATTCATGTATTGATTAACTCATATATTTGACTTGCATACCAACTATAAGGAAGGTTCACAAAAAAAGTTTCCTAATGATAAGGAAAGATCTTTCTTTTCCATTAGCGGAAACTGTCAGTTACTAATTTATTAGATGTTAGTGGCATTTTGATTCAATAATATAAGACCTTAATGAAAAAAAATTGGCATACCCCATTCCTTATGTAACGAAAGTATGGAGAACTGGAGGAGAGTTACTCCGAGCCAAAAAAAGGTTTAGGATGCGATAATAATGAGTTGAAACTGGAGGTTTCTTTTGGGCAGCACGGGCAGTGAGTGGCCTGATTAGAGAAGCAGAGTCTGAATGAGGTACATGGAGTCTACTTCTAGCCATCAATGAGATAGAAATTTAATTTTTTAAAGTCATCTCCCATTATTACCAATGCAATGTTTATCACTACAGGTAAGTTATATTTGGTAAGATGTAGAAAGTCTCTAGTCTCGAAACTAGACGTATGAATATGCTTCAAATAAGCAGATGAATTTGCAAATAAAGAGGTAATCAAGAGGTTAACTTTGAAGGTTTTAGCAAACCCATGCTATCTCCACCAGAGACAAAATCAGCAAGTTAAAAGAAGGTGGTCTGAAGTCATCTGAGGGGAAAGTACTTACTGAATAAACAAGACCTGAGACAGCCAGAGTACTTTCAGAGACCTGGGTAGAGACCATGAGGAAGGAATAGGGGAGTTCTAGGGGATGCGGAAAACTCCACAGAAATTGAAGAATCACTGTCGTCTGAACATGTGGGCAGATGTTTTATTTCCCACTCTTGATGTTTGGATCTTACGTAGCCCAACAAAATAACAGGGCCTAGACTTGAGATATTATGAATCAATAAATTATGTCTTAAAACTGACTTAGCAGATATACCTTATTCCCCAATTATGCAGTTTTTATATCCATAGTATTTTCCCCAAAACAAAAAACATTTTGGTATTATCAAAGCTCACCTCCACTCACAACCCTAAATGTAGTATATCCTTCAATTATAATTAAAGGCGTGTTAGCTAA